TTGTTGCAACCTGGAACAAGATCTTGAAGCACTTTCATTCTTTGGCTTATTTTCTCTCTTATAACCTACAGAAAGTTATGAATACTGACAAATAAACAATAGTTATTTGGATATCACAAAAGATGTTAACTATTAATTTTAGAACAAAAGAAACATAAAAGTAACGCCCAAATCACCCAATTCCTATGTATTTACATATCTAACACATGGAATAGGGAAATTTACATACATACCACACAACTCTTGCGTATTTACAGACCAAACACCTATAACCTTCCAGGCATTTACATACATAGCACAAAATTCTCATGTATTTATAAATCTCACACCTAAACTTTCACATTTACATGCGACATTCAAATCATTGATATCACATCAAATATAGCACTAGAAGCACTGTTTAAAAGTGAAATATTTGTTTTCATGCATAAGTTTAAAACATCAAAGTGCTCTGTGTAAATATCGAAGTGTATGAAAGAGATGTAAATGCATAAGAATGCATCTGGTTACCAAAGTCTAGTTGTTTGATATGTAATACATAGGAATTGGGTGGTATGTATGTAAATGCCCCTAAAATCTATTGCATCTGGTTACCAAACATATGAACACAAGTAATCAAATGAATATACATATTTTATTAAATAAAATAAGCAGTTATACATGTGAATATGAAAGGTGTTAGATATGTACATATAGAAAATTTTTATGGCATGAAGGTAAATTTCCCCAAAAGTAATTATATACTAGGAAAAATTCAAATGAAACAATCTATATAAAAATGTTCACACATGCATAATGAAAGATTGAATCACTATCTTGTATTGCAAGCTAAAAACACTAAAATATATGTACATAAATAGCTTTTACATACCACCTAATAAAAATAGATTTATGAGCGACAGTCCACTAAGCCGATTTATGGGTGCATCAGCCAACTATGACTTAGGTGTATGTATAAACAATGCTCCTAGTAAAGATCTTCAAGAATAAAAATAGGGCCTGAAATCTGAGATGCATCTGCTAGTAAAGATCTTCAAGACTAAAAGAAAAAAAAATAAAATGAACCTTATTTTTTACCACTTGGCTCTCTTTTTTGAGAACAAACACAAACAACAAACCCTAAGCTCCCGACAAGAGAAAGGGTTTTGCGATTTGGAGAGAAGAAGAAGAGCAGCTCTCAACGAGAGAAAGGGTTTCGCTATTTTGAGGGAAGAAGGAGAGCCGACCGGCTTTCAAGAGGGGAAGGGGACGAAGAACTGCAGAAGACGTGCACGATTTTGAGAGATCAAGAAGAGCCGACCGCAAGAGGGGAAGGGGAGGCCGATCAGAAGTTCCGAACAACCGAAGACGGGGTGACGGGGTTAGGGCTTAGGGTTCTTACGTTTTCATATATATATATATATATAATATACATAGTAAATTATATTAATTATATAACTTATATTATATAAATATATAATTTCTATTTTCCTAATATAATATATTAATATATTATTAATAATAATTTATAAAATTTAATTTTTTAAAAATATGATAAATTTTTAGAGTATATTATTATTTTTAAAATATCATAAATTTATATATATAATTATTTTAAATTATTTTATATTTCGAACAATAACGATTAGAACACAATTGAACAAACGAACGCATCACTGTTTGTGTTTGGTTCATTTAACAAATCGAATGAAAAAGGTTGTTCGTGTTCGTCTCGTTTGCTTATTGAACGCACCGAACACGAACTGTTCACGAACAACGAGCTTTTTTGACAGCTCTAAACGGTATCAAGACTTTCTCGATTGCTTGATTTCTAGCTTTTTTAAGTAGGTCATAATTTTATATTTGTATTTCTTTTATTTCGAATCCATTTTGGGACTTTTTGAAGAGCAATGAAAGTGTTTCTCTAGTGTGAGAAATTGAGTGACATATCTTAGTGGAGTCCTTGTTACAACCTTGTAAAGATAGACTTATAAAATGGAGGGTAGCTCGCTCGCTTCCTTTTAGAGATTTTCCTCGAGCAAGTTGATGATGAGCTTGTAGGTTACTTCTTTTACCCATTTATTTGTAGGCTAATGTGTAGATGAGACTCTATGGTTGATGCTATTATTGGCACAACAAAAATTAGTTTTTTTTTTCCCTAATAATTTGAGCACGTTGTTTGTAATGATGGCAACTGGCAGGTAAAACCATAAAGATTTTGTTCCATTGAAAGTTGATGACCGACTCTATTGTTGGAAAAGTAGCACCACTACTTTGACCTATTTCATGAGATAATCCACCACAAAGGATTAGTTGGCATTTGCTAAGTTACCATGGGAAAATGGTTTAAAGTCCATTTCACATAGAGTGAATCTCTGATGAGAAATGATATGTTACAATGGTAGGCTTTTAACCGGTGGACTATTTTGCCCTGCATATGTGAACTTTATTATCATTTTTTGAATTCTCGAACATTGCTTTTTATGGTTCACCATTATTTGTCTTGCCTAATTATTCTTCTTACTATGCTTTCATAATATATTGGCTCGAACACTCTCCTGAATGCACTTCTTCTTTCACTTTCAAAGTTTACCCTGACTCAAAACATCTCAGATTGATCCTTGACTAAACATTATTCTACGGATCTCCACTTGTGTTAAATATTTTGCCGCATTTTACCTGATACACATGTTTCATTTTTGTTCTTTGACATGACTCCTTTCAAATGATCATTGATCATTGGTGTGAACTAGAAATATGCTTGGCAATGAATGGCCTCAATAAGGTGGCATGAGGATTCTCATAGTTTAAAAACAGGTCAACAACTTGGTTTTCGTCTTTTGGTATGCACACAATTTAATATTTTTCTAATTTTATGATGTTATTTCTGACTCACTTGAGATATCGATAAGGGTAGTCCCAAATTCATAGTGCCTTATTTCCAGTTCGGCATGAATTGGAAGTAGCTATGTAATTTTAACTTTCTTGCTTTGACTTTGACTATGAGGCACAATCCTTGAAGCAGTGCTTCAGCACTCATTGATTATTGATGGTTTTGGAATCAAGATCTAGAGATGACAAAATTAGCAATTTTTAAGAACTTATGAAGTTAACCTTAACACCATCGTTTACCTCAGCTCCTTCATCTCGAGAATCTTCTTATGGAACAAAGAACTCCACATGATTCTAGCCAAAAGGCCAAGAAAGATATTGGAACAAAGAACTCAACTACAAATTCAACAAGGGCTTGAGTTTTTATTATAATGAGGGGCGTGCGGTGGAGTTCAAATTTACCAAATCTTAGAAGCCATTTAACGAGCCCTCATTAGAACTTGAGCTTTAATAATTCTTGATTGATGGTAATATTGGTAACAATTTTGAGCTTGTGAGATTGGAAATATGGATTTAGCCTTTGTCACTGATGTGGTGAGAGCAAAGTCAAGCTTAATTGATTGCAAGACTATTTAAGTTTGCCCCATTGACCTGCTCGCTAAAATAATGCACTATATGTTGCTTCTTCGCTTCTTCTGGAACAAGGATTGAGTTGAAAACTGTGGTATCTACTGTGAAGTATAGGACCTTTTGAAAGTATCTTTTTGCAGTTGTTATAGACAAATTTTTGTTTTTAAAAAAGTTATCATAAGATAGTATAGAGGATGTTTAGTCTCAGCAATCCTAGGATGGAGTAGATCATTGTGCCTTTATTTGCGAAAGATACAAGTCTTTTGGATAAGTGTTATTATCATTCTTGAAGTTTATGGACATTCTCTGTCGTTAGACTTTAGCATAACCATATTAGAAACCCACTCAGGGTAATGTACTTCTTGGATAAAGTGGATTTTAAACAAGTTTCCACCTTTTTCTTTAAGGGCGGCTTTGATCTTGTCAAGGAACTTCTTGCTTTATGATCAAGTAGTTAACATTTACTTTCAGATAGTGGCAAGCGACATTGACATTCATTCCAACATCTTGATAGGGTTATAGCTGTAAACACATCTTTGTTACATCGTGAAGGAGTGAGAACTTGGGAACATAAAAGATCTTAGTAAAGGGAGTTGGTTTTGAACTTCTTTTTAGTAGATCATTTTATTAAGGCAAGCTTCTCAATCACTTCTTCAAATTTTCTATTCCTGGTTGATTTACTCTCGTTGATTGAGTTTATGTAGCATTTCCTTGACTATATTTGATCTTCTAGGAGATGTGAATTTCATTGCTAGTTTTGTAAATAAGTTCCCCATTAGCTATTGGTTTTCATAGGCTTTAGCTATTTTGGGGGTCTGCTAGGTGAAAGAGATTGAAACATAAAAAGAAATCATGAAGATAATTTAATAATTAATAGAAGTACTTCTTTTCAAACATCATAATTTTCATCTTCTTATTCATTTTCTTGTGATTAAAGTAGATTTTAACTTTCAAAATTTGACTTTGGCACTTGAAAATGGAAGTTGATTTACTATATATTCAATTATTTAATAATGTAGAGGGATGGTGTATGATTTGTGTAGTCAAGTGTTTTTTTAACACATGTATTGGTGCCAGCTTTCGGTTTTTCAAGGATATCAGAAGCTGTTGTCAACATCTTCGTTTCAATCATCTCTTATGCCATAATAACTCATGTGTGAACTTTGCCTTCTATTTTATTAAAGAAGCGAAACTTTCATCAATAAAGGCGATTTCAGGCATTTTAGTTCGGATCAATATATTCCCCCTTCTTCCCACTTTCTGTGATTCCTGAATTTTATCATGTGTTGACACAGTTTGCTCTCAAATCATTGTCATTTTCTTTATTGTAATTTTGAAGGGGCATTTACGTTCATATCACCCAATTCCTATGTATTATATATCTAAAGCCTAAACATAAAAAATACCACTATTTCTACTTCTGAAAACTGGAATACACCTTTTCATGCATACATAAGATGGCATGTATACATTGAAGTTTATTTGTTAGATAATGTAAATACATAAAAATCGAGTGGTATGTATGTAAATCTTTGAATTTTGAAACAACACATCTTCAGTTTTAGTTCCAGTGAAGGTCATTCAATCAGTAGTGTTGATCTGAATAAGAAAAGAAAACTGCAAGATGAATTAGACAGCCAGGAAATCTCTTCCTCAAAGCAGCGATTTAGAGTTGGAACCTATATTTTTGGTCAAGGCTTGCAAATCCGAGGGGGTTTTTCTGAAAAGCCAATTGTTAGAGAAATACATAATGAATTTGAGCAACCCGAAGAGTCTGAGAAGGATAGCAATACTTTTACTGGAGCTTATGATAATTCAATGTCGTCAAATGAAAATTTCATTAATTCAACCATTCATCAGAACCGACATTCAGCCTCTTTGAACAGCTACAGTAATGAAGTTCTTAGAACTCATTTCTATTCCTTGGAAAGCAGAGGTATGAAGGAAGCGAACAATTTAGAAATTGCAGATTTGGAGGATACTCTTCAGTTTGATCCCGGATACGAAGTTATGGAGGATGTGCACTATGGTTTTGGATTCGATCATACCATCTCAGAAGCCATGGATGATGCCGAAACTGTGATTCTCTACTCCAATGATGTATTATTGTCTTCAGGGAGGTGGAACCTTGGAAAAGGTACAATCTCATTATCTTTAGAGATTAAAAAAATGTGTATGTCATAGATTGCGTGAATAAATTTTGTGAGTAAAATTTAAGGAAATTTACATACGTAGCATACAATTCCTATGTATAGCTCATAACTAAACTTTCATATTTACATACGAAATGCTTTGGTGCTTTAAAATTATGCATGAAAATGTGTATTTTACATTTAAAAAGTGGTAATAGTTTTTTTTTATGTGATATTAATGATTTGAGTGCTATGTGTGTAAATATGGAAGTTTAGTTATGAGATATGTAAGAATTGGGTGCCATGTATGCAAATTCTCCTATATTTTAATTGCTTCATGCTCCGAGCAAATTTTGTCATCCACGTTAAGCTAAAGTAGTCAAACGCAAATTCAATGAAGCTCATGAAATAGTCAATATCATATCAATGCTGATAGATAAATCGGCCTAAAAATTCGACATTAATAAGGATGTGATATGGGCTTTCTCAGGTATGCTCTCATTCTTTTTTGAAGGAAGGATTAAATAAATGTGTGAATCATGGGACTTTTTTTTGAAGGAAGCCTTATATATTTATATGGTACCATTCAATTCCCAAGTATTTACACGTCTAACAACTTAAACTTCAAGTTTTAGATACATGCCACTTTACCTATGCATGAAAGGTGTATTTAATTTTTTTAGAAGTTAAAATGGTGGCATTTTTGATGTGATATAAAAGGTGATATAAAAGATTTGGGTGGTGTAAATATAAAATATAAAATTTAGGTGTTAGATATGTAAATTCATAGGAATTAGGTAGTATATATTTAAATGACTCATTTTAATTGGAATTTCCTCATTTAGTTGATGAAATTGAGGTTTTACATTTTGCAAGTGCGCATGCGAGCCTGAGTATCCTCATTATCATTAGCTCTATCCTAACCATCTGGGTAATGTGCATGTGAAGTTGTAGCAATGAACTGACCAATAGGATTGGGTAGGGATTTCTCAATTAAAAAGTAAATTTATTCAAATTTCTTAAGATAAATTCATATGCATACTATGAAGCACAATAGCTTTGTATGAAACATAACCTTAAATTTTTTTTTTAAACTTGTGTTAGGTGCTCCTTTGGTGGGTGCAAGGAAGCTGACTATCGATCAGGAGTTCGAACAATACTTTTCATCTCTCTTGCTATAACAACTTATAAGGTAGCTTGACTCTCTAATCATCAAATTCCAATAAGATTGGTGCACTGCTGCGTTTGTCTGCTCGAATGTATCGAACTTTGACAGGCGTGCTGAAACATGGGGTCCCACATGTGGCGCACGCCTATCAAGGCTCGTCGGGTCAGCATAGGCATGCACATTATTTTCATGCAAAACTACTTGATTGAAATTTATCAGGGTGTCTCTCTCTCCTTTGGTGTGTAGACATTACAAAATCACCAAAGAACGATAATCCATCACAGCATATGTTAGTGAGTTTTCTGTATAGAGGTAAAGGTTAATACCACTGAATTTACACACCCAGCAGGATCATTCTGTATTGATCTTTTTTAGCTTTTTTTACATTTTGTGGATCAGAGCAAGTTTTATTTATTATTGCAATGATGGACAACTTTAGAGAAAAATAATGGAGTCTTATAAGTGAAACCAAGAACTAGCATTGGAAGCGCAGTTCTGAAATAATAACATGATATTAAGATGATGGAAGATTTACATACATACCACTCAATTCTTATGTATTTGCTTATCTAACACTTGAACCTCAATTTTTACATATATGCCATGCCAACTTACCTATGAAAATAATGGTACTTTTGATGTGATATGAAAGATTTGGGTGGTATGAATGTAAAAAATAAAGTTATTGAAAATGAAATGAGGGCTTATTCGGTTGTTTGAAGTTTATAAATTATGATAATTTTAAAAATTGGGTGTATGTAATATAATTTTAGTTGGTATGATGTTGGCCATTTCATTCACTGTGAGTAGAAATTAGGTGATGCATATGAATATTATAGATTCAAAATATTTTGTATATGTTATATGGAATTAAGGAAATAGTTATAGATGAAAATATAATTTCTGAAGGTAAGATTGGAAGATTAAAATGAAGAAATGACATGAGCAAAAAATAAAAACTCAATTTCATATACCAAATTAGTAAACTTCAAATTTTATTTTTTAAAGATAAAATGCTTTTTAAATTTAATGTTAAATATGAGGATGTTAAAATTTAATAAATGATTATATTAGAAATAATTTTATAGTGTTATAAATAACATATTTGGAAAAAAAATAGATTTAATTTGGACATATTATAAATATTGTTTAAAGGATTATAAATAAAAAAAAATGTTAAGACTCAGGTTAAATAATTATAAATTGGTTAAATGACTTATGAAAGGCTCAATTTGAATGAATGAAAACTAAGAATTTAGAACACTGTTGGGGCATGGATGGTGGCATTATATATCATTTTTTTTTTAAAACAATGTAGTTTATTAAAATCATTATTTTGCTTGGATATGGATTTACACTTAGCATTGATTTAATGTCAACAAATTTTCTTAAAATAATCATTTTATAGTAATATTTTAATTGTGTAAAAATAAAGTAAAGTAACTGTTTTTTAAAAGTAGATTTGCTTTTTAGAGCAATCATAAGAAATTTGTGATATAATGAGATTGATGCATACATTACAACTTTTTAGAGTTTATATAAGGCTTTATAGTTGTATTTTGTTCACATCAATACATATTATAACATAGTGCTGAGAGTTAGAGCAATAGCTCAAAAATTTATTTGTTTTGAAAAAAAAAAAAGTACCATAACCAATATAAAAAATTTAATTTTCCAAAATTCATTGAAAATATTTAGTGAGAAATCTAAATAAAATTTTGCTTGATCAAATATTTTTTTCTAAATTCTTTTGCATCCCTTCTTGATTCTATAACTATATCCAGGCCCCAAGTATTTCACTAAGTCCAGATATTATTTTTCATTATAATTTTTTTTTCTTAGGGCTTGTTTGGGGTAGTTTATAAGTGCGGGAATGTTTTTGAAAACATCACTATACTATTTGGATCGCACATTTTACCCGTTTATTTGAAAACGTGGTTTCATTTTTAACTAAACGTAGGCCGCAGATCGAACTCCGCAGTCGACTTGTGGGCCGCGTTTCAGGATAAGCTGTTTATTCTAAAACACACAAGCTGCCCAAAATGCACCTTTAATCATGTGGAATAAACAACGTAAAACTGTGCATATGTTTGACACCTAATTAGGCTTTACGATAATTCTCGAAACACTATATGAATAAAAAAAAAGGGGGCATTAACATTGATAGCAAACAAGTCTTATGTATTTATATATCTAGCACCTAAATTTTCATATTCACATACATAACACTTCAAATATTTAATATCACATCAAAAATAGTATTATTATACCACTTTATAAAGTTTTTCATGCATAGGTTTAAAACACCATTGTGCAATGTATGTAAATTTTAAAATTTAGGTGTGAGATATGTAAAATTGTAAGTACATGTGTTGTGTATTAGGTATGTAAATTTCCCCAAAAAAAAGTGTAAATTTATATATGCGACAGATTTTATCGATAATGAAAGAAATTTTAGGATTTTGATTTATATTTTGAAGGCCTAATTGTAAGACAATTATAATTATAAAATATTATTATTTTTTTTTCCAGTTTTAAGTTCACATAGAATTTGTTGTTGCATTGATTCGATCGAAAAATTTCTACTTCCCCGTAGCAATGTAGCTTCTATTGTAAACATCACCGTAGATTAGCATTTGCTCGAGAGAAAGGCCTCGTTAGGGTTTTTAAATAAATAAGCCATATCCAATGCAAAATGATATTATGGGATTAGTGTCCGATTTTAGCTGTTTTTTTTCACACATAAAATGGGGTTGTTAATATAATTTATGTTGAATTTAGGTCGAAACATTCCGACTTAAACTATTTACATCGGATTTATGTCTTCAGTGTGTCAGTTAATAATAAGATTGGTAATACGTCTACTCTCCGTCATGTGTGTTGTGATATCCTCAACCTTATGCCGACCTCGAATCACTTATTAATGCAATCGATGAAGCTCTTTGTTCATTATAGCGATATGTCTTGTAAGAGAATCATGATTTGATTGTGACAAGCTCGGGGAACTTACAGGAGCATGGTAAATCTCAACCTCGAATTTTATGCTCTTTGCACCGAGGCCATAGACCCCCCTTCTTCTTTCCTGTCACCTATGTCCATAACTCAAACTCGGACTACGCATTAGTAGAATTACTACCACTGCTTAAAACCAATGTTTATTTATCAATTTGTATAGCCTGAGCCGAAATAAATTTAAAAAAAATTAATTTTTTTTACTTACATTCACCAGTCGGAAGTGCTCGGTGACCTACTGTTGCGTCCCTGATACACCTAAAATATATAACATTTATGTACACATTTTTATACCTATTTTTTAGGATATTGAGCTTTAATGAAAGATATTTCTGTGTTTTTCTTTCAAGTATAGTCGTTAATGAAAGATATTTTTGTGTTTTTCTTTCAAGTATAGTCAAATTGATAAAAAAATAGTGAAAGGAGTGAAAAAAATCAAATTTGGAGCAAAAATGAAGAAGGTGTGCAAAAGAACTGTGACGTTAAGCGCCCAAGACTGGCGCTTAAGCACTAGGATAACAGAGAATACCACACCTAAGCACCACATAACTTGCGCTTAAGCGCCAGAGGTAGTTGTTTGATGATTCAATGAATTTGGACGTATTTTTGAAGGGTGTTTGAAACAACTCTTTGTGAAAATGTGGTTTATGGTTAATATACACGAAAATTCATTCAAATGACTTTAGAAAGAAGGCAACTGTTGAAGGCAACTCTTAAAAGATTCATTGAATGTAGACAAATTTTGAAGAGACACCAAAACACCTTTAGAAAAGTTATAAAAGAAGACTTAGATTGAAGAAGAATGAGTCTCAATTAGCGGCCAACACGTCTCTCTCATAGATTAATTAGGATACTCTTAGAGAGAAGAAATGGAGGAGTTGTATTGTGTTAATAAAGAGTATTGTAAGAGAAAGGAAGAGAAAAGATTCAAAGGAACTTCAAGAGTTTGGTGGAGAGGAGTTTGAGATAAGTTTTTATCTTTTTGACTATATTTGGTTTTAATTTAGACTTCTTGTGTGTTTACATGATTTCTACTTTTAAACTTAAGTGTGGTTGTATTTTCTACATGAGTTCTGAGTAGTTTTCTTTATCTTTTTTTCCTTAAAACGATAAATAATTAAGTATTGGATGGAAGTTGTGGAAAATATTAATCTTTAATGTTGGAATAAGCTGTGATGATTTTAAACCTTATATTTCATTTACTTCTTGATTTGACCAATTAAGAAGTTAATATCTATTGTGAGAATTGTAAGATCCGAGATAATATTGTCTCAGTCAACTAATGGTAAGAATCACATGAGATTATATGAATGAGAGTGTAATTTATACGGTTGAGTGCAAATAAATAGAGAAATAAACTTTTAAGGGTGCAGAGTTAGATGACTTTAGAGTGACATATTAAAACCCCCACTTTGGTTTATTATTTTAAGTCTTGAGACGAGATGTTAGCCCCCAGGTGGAGGGAGAAGAGGAAACTCTAGAGTGAGAGCTAGTATCTCCCATACCTAACCCGTCTTCAGGACTATTCAAACTTTAAATTAGCCAATGTTCTTTATAGCATCTCTAGTAAGGGTAAAGAATAATATTGCTCTTATTTGACACAACATAATTTGAATACTTCCACGACAGAATTCATATACTTGCTACTTTCCACGACATAATTCATATACTTGCTACTTATTCATGATAAGGGAAAAAATATTTTATTTATATTGCCTTCATGTTACAAATATTTAGTTAAATTTAATTAGTTTTTACTCGTTCACCTTACTTTCAATTATCAAAAATTACAAAAAAAAATTGAATTTTCATTCCTATTATAACATCTATAGTTCGAGTAAGAATATTTTTCAAAGTAGATTTTGTTATCTAATTTCTTCTGACTTAAAAAAATTTTTGATTGTAATTCTTCTTGTGGGTTCAACATTCAGTGCTTAATCAAAAAGTCTTTTATTACTTGATAACAATATGTATACTTGCGTAGTATCCCATTATTTAAATATAATAATTGCACTCTTATTTGCTTCGGAGTCAAGTTTTTGGCCCCATTGTAAAGTAAGAAATATAAGTAAGGAAAATTGAGAATCTAATCACATACTTCGTAGTACTGTCATATACAATCAGGATCAGTCCCCAAGCGCCAATCGGTTCGAACATGCAACTCTTCATTAAAGGGTTCACGACTCTAACTTCTTGGCCAGTGTAGCATAAGAGAATGATTGACACCACATAATTACATCAAACATTGAAATTTTGAATATTTATAAGAATCTTACCAGGCTCATGCAGCGCTCTGTATGGGAGATCAATCCTCTAATATGAAGCACAACTACTCTAGCCTCCTTAGCGCCCGGTTCGCCTACATGTTCCTCTCATATTTGGGAGAGGCCCAGACTGCAGTCAATTGAGCCCAAAGTTCCTCACCAATCCAGGC